TTCTACAAATTAATAAACATGGTATCTAAATCAACAAGAAAAAGAAATAATCAACTCACATGAAGATAGAATCACTGAGCTTCCAAAAGAAATTGCTCGTTACAAAATTTCCTTACTTCCGACTTAAGACTTCTTGCTAGTATACTGTTCATCGAAAAAATGCAGAGAACTGTGCCTCCTAACCACACCCTTCTTGACTTTCGATTCGCTACCGTACTGTGGTGGCAAGGAAAGAGCAGGCTGTTCACACGGATTGGCCAGATATTTGGACCGGTTCTTGGCTTAATGTGATGGAAGAAAGACGCAGCACTTTTAATTACCTTCGGTGGTTTGATTGTTATCGACGTTTCACGTTGCTGTGTGTTATCCAATACGCATTGGAGTTGAAATGCTTGCTTGATCTTGGCTTTATCGTTGGTAATAAATGAAGCAGATGATTATTTGTCTTCAACATCCTTTGTCAACAAGCTACTGTTGTTTTCGATGCCTAGAAGCAGGGTTTCTAAAGAACAAAACGTCTAATACTCTTTCTTCTGATATATCGAACTTAATTACTTAGTATTTTGATTTTCTTGTTATATTAGGACTGGTTTTTAGAGTTCATTCTTAGACTTCTTTGCTTTGATGCCCATCAAAATTCCCTAGATGGACGCATATTAGAGGACAGACTACTATTGTTGATCGATAGCAGAATATCCATTTATAATCTGGTCTCAGTTGCTGGGAGATTTTCTCAAAATGGATATCAAGAAATTGAAGAAATGTGTAAGGCCTATTATCATGTTTATCGTCTTGGCGATTCGGTTCATGCCTGTGCAGGCTATAGGACACAAGGAAGAAAGGGTCACTGCAGGTATGTGACACAGTCTTCATAGAGGTTCTTTCAATATTTATGTTTGATGGGGGCACTAAACCTGGATTTGTAACACACATTCACTTCCATTTTTGTGGTGAAATTCACCTTTTTGCGGCGAGCAGAGGAAGGGACACTTTTCAGATCACAAATTTTGATAGAAATTGAAGGAAATGTGAACATTTGAGTGTCAGAGATTGGAGAGACCGCTAAAAGAAAGCTAAAACAACTAGAACTCAAAAAATCTATCTGCATGCATTCTGTAAACAGCTAGGACCCCTACACAACAAGTGTGTGTAATCACTTCTTGGCTACCTGGGTTCAGACCGCAGGGCAAATCATGAGAAGCTAAACCTAGAGAGTTGTTGAAGACTCTTCTTGGCTTGAAATCTCTTAATATATAATCCAAGAATAATGATTGGGGTCTAGTTTTGTGGCTGGTGATTTCAAAGAAGTTTTGAAGCCAACCAGCGTCATCATGCCTTCTTTTTTCCTCTTATTAAACACATCTTGGCTTGACATGAGAAAATCACGGCTTGGAGCTTCACACAAACCAGGTTTTAAGCTGAATTTAAAAAAAAAAATATATTGATTTGGTAAATTTAGTTGACGGTGGGTTAACCCATTTTAACAAAATAAAACAAAATTATTTTAATAAAAATAATAGATATAATTTCATCTAATTATATTTGCTTACACTTTGCTTAATACCCAACAAACACTGATATGAGTTGCAAGCATTATCGAGCATACACTCAGGCATTGTTTAAGAGATCAATTGGAGTATCTTTTTTTGAATTTTTTAAATTCTTTTTATAAAAAATTTTCAATTAATATTTTAAATTATTTTAAGGTGCAGTTATCAAAAATAAAATAAAAATATATTTTAAATATATTTTTAAATTAAAAATATTTTAAAAAGCAACGTGTAATATAATTTTAAACTTAAACTAAATCATTTAGAACTGATTTATTCATCTGAGTAATCTCCCTTACAGCATTTTCTTATATTAAAATCGGAAAACATATTTGAAAAAACAAAAATCTATTTATCAAATGAGCCAAAACTCAAAAGACTACAGTAGCATCTGTCCTTCCACCTCAGAGCCCATGTCATGTGGTGCTTAACCATCACATCTCCGAACCGCCAGAAATGTTCAAAAATCAGTTATGAAGCTTCTTCTCTCTAGCCAACGCCATTACAGCACGCTTGCTTCTCTAAATCTCAAAACTTTCGAAAGCCCACAATCCAAAGCATACAAAATCATCCAGTACTGCAAATCCGGTTCGCTTTTTGAAGCAATTCACGTCCTAAACTCCATAGACTGGACAAGACTCTCCAACAAACCATTCTTTTATGCTTCTCTCTTGCAAACTTGTACTAAAGCTGTCTCCTTTACTCACGGTATCCAATTCCATGCTCATGTTATAAAATCTGGTCTTGATACTGATAGGTTTGTGGGAAATAGCTTGCTTGCACTTTATTTCAAGCTGGGTCCTAATCTTTTTGAGGCAAGAAGGGTTTTTGATGGGTTGTTTTATAAAGATTTGATTTCTTGGACTTCAATGATAACTGGTTATGTTAAGGTAGAAAAACCAAAGAAGTCTCTTGAATTGTTTTTGGAAATGTTGGGTCTTGGTATTGAGCCAAATGGGTTCACTTTATCTGCTGTGATAAAGGCGTGTTCGGGACTTGGGGACTTAAGGCTTGGTAAATGCTTTCATGGGGTTGTTATGGTTCGTGGGTTTGATTTGAATGATGTTATTTCTACAGCTTTGATTGATATGTATGGGAGGAATTCTGCGGTGGATGATGCGAGCCTGGTGTTTGTTGAATTGCCTCAACCAGATGCTATTTGTTGGACCTCGATCATTTCAGCTTTTACGAGGAACGATGTGTATGATAAAGCTTTGGGATTCTTTTATTCGATGTGTAGGAAACATGGGTTGTCGCCTGATGGGTTTACGTTTGGGACGGTTTTGACTGCTTGTGGTAATTTAGGGAGGTTGAAGCAAGGTAAAGAAGTGCATGCTAAGGTGATTACATCAGGATTGAGTGGAAATGTTTTTGTTGAGAGCAGCCTTGTTGATATGTATGGGAAATGTAGGTTGGTTAACCAATCTCAACGTGTTTTTGATAGAATGAGTGTAAAGAATTTGGTTTCCTGGACTGCATTGTTAGGGGGATATTGTCAAAATGGTGACTTTGAATCTGTTATTAGGATTTTTAGAGAAGGGAAAGGGGTTGATACCTATAGTTTTGGAACTGTTCTTCGTGCTTGTGCAGGTTTGGCAGCTGTAAGACAAGTGAAAGAGGTTCACTTCCAGTATGTGAAAAGGTGTTGTTGGCGAGATGTGGTCACAGAATCAGCTTTAGTTGATCTTTATGCAAAATGTGGTTGTATTGATTTTGCATACAGAATTTTTGTGCGGATGTCAGTTAGAAATTTGATAACTTGGAACTCGATGATTTATGGCTTTGCCCAGAATGGAAGATGTGGAGAAGTTTTTCAATTATTTGATGAGATGATTGAAGAGGGGATTAGGCCTGATTATATTAGTTTTGTTGGGGTTCTTTTTGCTTGTAGTCATGCTGGTTTGGTTGACCAAGGGAAGAAATATTTTGCCGCAATGACTGAGTTATATGAAATTAAACCAGGAATTGAGCATTACAATTGCATGATTGATCTTCTAGGCCGTGCTGGTTTGCTAGAAGAAGCAGAAAATTTGATAGAGAACGCAAATTGCAGAGATGAGCCATCTCTTTGGACAGTTCTTCTTGGTGCTTGTGCAGCCAGTCCACACTCTGCTACTGCAGAGCGCATTGCAAAGAAAGCAGTGGAATTGAAACCTGACCACCACCTGAGCTATGTATATTTAGCTAATGTCTATAGAGCAGTTGGCCGATGGGATGATGCTGTTAAAATTCGGAATTTAATGACGAAGAGAGGTGTTGGCAAAATGCCAGGCACAAGTTGGATCGAGACTTAAACGGTACTATTTGTTAATATCTAGATAACAGTCTCAGGTGAAAAAATCTTCTATGTATATCATCTCAGCAATTTTGAAGGCTGAAGAAAAGCTTGAAGTTCTCAAGATATCCAGAATCAAAGAAGACATGCAGGTCCAAAAATCAAGAGCGATGAAACCAGTTGCAGACTACGGACACCGATTTTTCTGCAATAGCTGTCCTTGACCACCGAATTGGAACGCTTCCAGTCATTTGGCATACTAGAAGATTTCCTGTCAATGTCTTGGTTAAAATGAGTACTCGGAAAGTTGTCATCACAGAATCTCCTGCAATGAGATGAGGAGACACCAAAATTTTTGTTCATGGGAACTTCTCAACCTAGACGAAAACTTCCTATGCTGTCATGCCCTTCTTTGTAATACAATCAACACCAGGAATTAAACAAATGACATCAAGTTATTTTCCATCTTCAATTCCTGGGAGCCATTATGACAACTAAGTCCTGTAAATTTCTTCATTTTTTTTAATCTCCGAGAAATACAATTGAATAAAAAAGGTGTGCGGTCTTGGCACTTAATTGAATAGATCTTTCAACCTTCAATTAATTTTATTATCTGATTTTAAACTGCAAAATGCTTTGAAGTGTAGAGAGAAGATGTTAAATTGCAAAAGGACTGAAACTTTTTTCCTTTCATCCGTATTTAGGTGTTTATGAACAACATGCTGTTTCACAATCTATTCCAAAAACTCTATTGATGAAACTTTGCTTGCCGAATGTTGTTTCACAAGCTTTGCCGAATGTTCATAAGCTGGCATCCAGTGACCAGGTGATGATTATTCAAAACTATTGCAGTAAATAAGAGCACAGAAACCTGTGCATGGGGAATGTATGTGCGCGTACCTTAACCCTACTTCATTTCAACTTTGAGGCTCTAGAGATTAGTTAATTTAATTGGGTTCTTCATGAGCCCAATTAACTGTAAGAAATGCACTGGTTTACAGGATCAAAGAAACAAGAAACACCACGAGCCTGGGCAAATGTAGGACATCATTTCTGTTTATCAATGAAAATAACCATTTTAGGTTCAGAAAGTTATAACATGTCTTACAAATGCAATACGATGTACCAACTCTGAGGAATCAATGTGTATTGAAGAACCACACACCGCAACCGTGTAAAAAGAAGAGAACAGGCAAAATTTGGTGATGACATCAAATATTAAGAAGGGAGCAGCCCTGGTTTACAGTCTACAGAATCTTACAGCAAAACCAGTCTCTACATCAAGACAGGGCTATCCTTTGACTATTGTACTATCCATACATACAATTCTTCGATGCTCAAATGAACTTTGCCTCTGTACAGTGTGCATAATTGGTAAATATACAAAACTACTGGATTCTAAAACCCCAGAGAACTTTCATCAGACTCGGCTTCAATTTCAGAATCAGAATATTGTCGAGAATCAAAACCAAATCTTATGTCTTGGTTAACCAATTCGGCAAGATCATGCCGGTTGGCATTTTTATAAGCATCCACGACAACCTTGACTAGAGAATCATTGGGCTTCATCTCTCCATACTTTAATTGGCTATAAATCCTCTTCACACCTTCAACCATACCAGCTTTCCCATAACAATGAACCAGATTAATAGAAGTAACAAGGTCTGGTTCAAGGCCTTCATCCTGCATTTTCATGAATGTTTTCAAAGCTTTATCAATCTCCCCTGATGACCCATAAGCATATATTGCAACATTGTAGGCAAAGGAATCGAGAGCTACTACTGCTTCCGTGAAAGACTCACACGACTCGAGCGCTAAAGCATGCAGACCCAATACAGAGAAAATGGAGGTGATGACAGCTTGTCTAGCATAAGGTTTTCCTTCCAGATAAGCTGATTCTAGCTGTGTTATACCTTCAGATGGAAAGCCTCCTTTCTTCAAAACAGTGAATAAGATTTTAAAGGTTCCACCATCAGGCAACAGTTTCTGGCCAATCATCTCATGCAATAATTCAGCGCACTTGCGTAGCTGACCATTGGTGGCATAGCATGCCATTACCTTATTATATGACACGCAGTCCCTCAGCAAACCCGACTGCTTCATCTCCTCTGCAATATCAATGGCTTCATCAAGCATGCCCATGCTCTTATACAGATACATCATGGTAGCAAAGGAAACCCCATCAGCCTGACCCTTTTCTCTCAAATTTTTGAAAACCAATTCAGCTTCAGATACCATTCCAAGGTCTGCATAAAGACTGATCATGCTATTTGATGCAATAATATCAGGACCACCCTCCAAACCCTTCATCTTCTTATACAAATGTTTTGCTCCGTCAAAGCATCCCAGCTTACTATAAACCTTGATCAGGGAAGTCAGCACTATCTGATTTGCAGGAATCCCGCTTTCTTCCATCATGCGAAAATATTTCAGAGCTTCTTCAACATTCCCAACTTCCGCAAATCCATTGATTAAAGACCCATAAACAACTTCATTAGGTTTTACTCCTGCTTTTACCATTTCTTGGTAAACATCAACTGCATCAGAAAGCTGGCCCAGACGGGCATAGCATGCAATGACAGCAGAGAAGGTTAGACATTGCGGTTTAAACCCTGCTCCTTTCATTTCATCGAAGAGGTCCCTAGCTTGATCCATTAAATCACCACCAGCGCACATTTGGATGAGAGAATTATATGTGACCTCATCAGGCCAAGTCCCATGATTTCTCATGCCCTTAAAGAGAGAAAAGGCTTTATCATAAAGCTTTGCCTTACCATAAGCTTTGACCATGACATTATATTCCAAAACACCCTTCTCTGGTCCCAACAAATCCCTTTTTCCATAAAAGACAGCCTCTGCTTCAGCCCAAAGCCCCCTTTCAGCATAAGCATCAATAATTGCTGCATGAACCTTTGATGAGAATCCAACATCAAACTGGCACTTGTCTAAAAGTTTATTTGCTCTATCATGCAAACCTTCATTAATATACATTTTAACGATACCAGGAACAGAATGCACATCAATTTTCTGAGAAGACTTCTTCATTTCTTCAATAACAGCCTCCACTTCTCTTACCATATTCCTTTCAAATAATACATGAAGTATAGTTCTATGAGATACAATATCAGGAACAAGACCCACATTTCTAATCTTCCAATAACACTCAAGGGCTGCATTAATATTTCCTGCATCTGCATATAGAGATAAAAATATATTATAAGTTCTCGTATCAGGAGATATCCGTCTTTCTTCCATCTTATCAAGCAAAGACTCTGCTTCTGACAAAAGTCCATGACTTCCACAAGTAAAGATCATGGTATTGAAAGTGATGGTATCCATTGCCACCCCAGACTTCAACATTTCTGAAAAGACTTCAGCAGCATCCTTGAGACGTCCTGCTTTCCCATACAAATCAATCAACGTATTATATGTGGATGTTAGACGTGGCTTCCTAACCAATGTTTCTTCATCTGATGAACCCCCAATCTTTACTCTCCCTCCTGTTTTGAAAAGCTCAGTCAACAAAAAATGCTTAAAACTAACTGGTTCAGATCGAGACCCATTTTCAGAATCAAGCATAGAATCCAATTCAAGACCATCCAACTCAACCCTTCCAGCACACCAATCCTTGTAGAACCTCTCTGCCTTGTCAAACTCACCCACATCCTTCAAAACCTTGACAACAGTATTCATTGTAACCTCATCTGGAAATAACCCTCTAAGTCTCATGTGTTTAATCCACAAAAGAGCTTCAACAAGACCCGCTTTCGCATACACATCAACAAGCATTCCATAAGTATTATTCGTCGGCAAAACCCCATTTTTCGCCATATCCATCCAACAAAGCCGCAATTCATCCCATCTCTTAGCTCTACCCAAAACTCGAAGAACGATATTATAATGAATCACATTCGGAACATAATCCTTCTGCGACTTAAAAAACTCGAAAACCCGAACAACTCTCTCCCAATTCCTCTGTTCTTTAAGAACCACTGTTTGTTCTTTAGGACTCAAATTTTCACAAAAGGAATGAAGGGTTTTCTCAACATCAGTATTAGACTCTAAAGACCTTAAAATTGATGGCAAAACACCACCATACTTCTTCTTTTTACCATTTACTGTAAAACCCTTTGTCGGTAAAGTTAGAGTCTTCGAGTGACACTGAAGCTTAAACCCCAAAAAATCCTTACTTTCTTTACTACTTTGTTTCTGGGTTTGTGAATATAGAACTCTTTTATCACCAAGTAAAGCATTGTTGGGTAAAGGGCAGTGCTTTCTTCTTGAAAAATTATGATTTTTAAGATGGTTGTTATTAAACCCTATAAAAACCCTAGGAGAATAAAGAGAAAGGACCTTACTTGGAGAGTAAATGTTCAGTTGGAGGAGATTTTGATGCCCCAGTTCTCTTGAAGTTTGATTGTGACTCTGACTGTAACTGTAACTGTAAGTGCCACTGTGAAGCATTTTTTTTTCTTGAGTTAGGGTTTTTGGGGTTCAAGAAAATTGATTAGGAAATGAAATGGTTGTAGACTTGTAGTGTTGTACACAGTTGACAGTACAGTGTTCTTGATATTCGGCCGTAGAAAGTGGGCTCAGGCTGGAAGCAAACGACAGAAGGGGAATAGCAACGAATCTGAAGGGTAAAATAGTGAGAACGCTAGTCAGTATTTTCAATTGTGTTTCTAAAACACTATTTCAAGTTAATTTTTAATGAAAACAAATTACAATATTATAAATATATTTTTTGATATTATAGTTTTTTTAGTTGAAAATAAATTTTTTATTTAATTAAATAGATTGAATAATATAAAAAATAATAAATCAAATAAAAGTTAAGGCTGGTAAAGATCTAAGTGGAAAGTTGATTTTCTATATACATATAAAAAATATAGATACAGTTATAAATATTTTTTTAGACTGTTATTTTTATTTTATATATTTATTTTATTTTTCTTCAAGGTCAAATCTACAAGTTAAGGACATATGATTTTCATTCTTATAAATAAATCATGCAAATACAACTTATTTGTCTAAAATTTAAGATAAAAAAGTTTAAAGATAAATTAAAATAACTTATTTAAAGTATTATGAAATTAAAAAAATCCAAATATCAATTATATTTTTAAAAAATAAACAAGATAATTTTTTAGAAAAAAAAATATTAATTAAATATTATTTTTTTCTTAAAAAACTAATATTAGGAGCTGTTGGTCCTGGCAAGTAAGCATCCCCTCTAGTTTTTTATTTTTTTAAAGAGTATATAACACATAGTTCACATTAATATTTATATTTATATTTTAATTTTAATGGATGACAAGTCATGTGACTGGATAGATGACTTTGACTCGTTATTTATTTATGTTTTTTTTTAAGGTGATCAGAAAATCATTATCCGAATATTAAATTAATTTTCAACTTATCTTTGTCTAAATCATCATAAAAACTTGAATAAATACATTTTGAAGTCTAAACATTGTATAATTAGAATCTCAAAATTAAACCAAATTGAAAACAAATTAACAGGCCTAATTTACATTTTTAGTATGTTTAAAAGTGAAATCATCTTCATTGAATTATCTTATCCAAAACAAATTTATTGACACCAAGTTCGACTATTTTTATAAGTGGTCAATTACTTTTTCTCTTCTTGTTATCTTTCAATAACTTTCTTTCTTTTATTAATATTCAAGGAATGAAATGCTATAAAAATTAAATTTGGAATTGAAACAAAAAAATAAAAAAAATAAAAGGGACCAAACATGTATAATTCAAAACTTCAGGAATGAAATTTAATTTTTCCATGTGTTTTGAAAACACAGACCTATTTTTTTGTTCATGTCAATTTTCATCCTTGTACTTTTATTTTTTTATAATAAGTTCGAAGTGTATTTTGTGAAATAGATCTTTAGTTTAATGTTAACATACTCCATGCCAAACCAGGCATGCGAAAGAAATGAAAGGAAAATATTAGCTATGAACACTGTACTGAAGAGTTTACAATTAGCTAAATTTGTTAGTTTAGTGTTAATGTTAACAAGGGCCTAGTTTGGCTTCTCTTATTCCAACAGGTAAAATTGTTTTGAATGGTTTTTTTTTTTTTGACTGGTTGTAAGAATTAAGAGGGGTAAAAAATAGGGAAAGGATTTGAGGTGAGAACTTTTCGGGGGGTTTTAACTTCCAGGAAACCCTAGAATATAATATATTATTAAAACATTATCACGTTTGGATTAATGCCATTCTGCAACAAAAAATTTATTTGACAGCAACTTGAAGATGGGTTTTCTTTTATCTGCATAGTCCAGGCCGTCCCATTTGCTAGTGATGGAACGACTGCAGTCATCTGATGGAAAATGGAACATTGTGGAGCTGCAAAAATTATCGGAAGTATTCACACAAGAAATCCATCAACACCAGCAAATTGTAAGACTTGACTCCTTGCAAGCCACAAAGTTATGTCCGTAGCAGGTCAGGAACAAAACAGGCCAAAATTAACATGAATCAACTAGCTGAGGTTTACCAGACCTGTGCGATAACACATATCATCATCTCATGAATCGAGCACTTCTTGCTTGAGGGAACCATAGCCTAAAGCCATCTGCTGTAGTCTCGGCAGCCACCCCTCTTTACAAGCACTAAAGTGTAAAAATGAATTAACATACAATAACACAATCATTCTATAGAAATACAAAATGAGAAACAAAGTATCAATCTCAGTCTCATGAAGCTGATGCCTCAGCTTAACACAAAGTTCTAAAAATGAACCCTATTCAATTTTTCTAATCTGACAAGTTCTTTGGTTTGAGAATCGTGTATAAAGATGAACACATGGACAAGGTTAACAATGAAGCACGACGTGTTTAGTAAGGAAGTAGGTCTTTTGGTACCATCCAAGAAGAGCATCTTTGCCCAGTGGGAGCAAGCAATGTCATAGGGCAGCCATCATGGTCCTTGTTGTAGCTTCCCGCTTCATCTCTGCTGCTTTCCCACTGCCTCGGAAATACATGTAGACTTGCTGCAATTCAGGACAATAAACATAGAACCTTTAGCAAAACCATAATGAAACAGTAAGCAGGGATGCGTGCACAAGTTGTCCAAGGATTTATTCAACCTGAATGACCCAGATACTGAGGAGGGATTCAACGCAGAAGAATCCAAATCCAATGAAGTAGAATATCTGCAAACAAAATTTTACTAGAGTCAGACTTGCTTGGACATCTGCATCAAAACAAATATACAGATGCATTTCTCCCATTATTCTCAAGTCAAGTCAGATAATTTTACAAAGCCATACTTCATTGAAACTCTCACTCTAAAAATGAACTGTAACATATCATATGCAGCATGAAAGTACTTCCATAATAGCAGTGGAGGTCCACCAAGATTATCAAGGATGGAACTGTTGACTAAAAAGCAGAAAGCTTACCCCAACTAAAGCGTGGTTACCCATAAGATCAATAGCAGGCAAAATACCACTGTCCACAAAAGATCACACAAACATTAGCGGAGTAGAGAAATTAAAGGTAAATACAATCAATATATTTTCAACCCTATCAATCTCAAACATTTTAGAAGAAGACTCCAGCAAAACATAATAATATGAATTTCAGATGAGTGGGAGAATCCTCGTTTTCCCAGAATAGTTGTTTCACTTTCCAAACAAAGCTATGTCATATTTAATTTTCTAGCAAAAGAACTATCTTCAATGCAGCATCTAAAAGAGAAACTTACGCAAGAGATTTCCCCTTGAAAACAATTGGGGGAGCAACAGCAGCAAAGATGCAAAAGGCAATGTGAAACTGCATGGAAAACACAAGAACAACAAGTAAGGGAATTTCTAGAGGATCTTCAAGAAGGAGAGGAATACATAAATGAGATTACCAGGTAAGCCAAGAAAAACCATCCAAACTTCAGAGCACTATCTGTCCTGCAAAAGGAGTTGGCACAGAGTTGAATAGAAGTTATGATAGCATAATGCACGTGATGGAAAAAAATGAACAACAGAGAGAATAACTAAACCATTACATTCTTCTTATTACTTGAAAGCATAATTTAAGTACTTCAAAATCCATCCCCATATAATGCTCAAGAATGACCAGTATTTTAATGGAACATAATCCAGAAAAAAAGATCTATCTATTCTGAACCCATTCATCCATCATATACCATGGATAAAGTTCAAAACATATAGCAATCTTTTTTATCAGTTAGCAGAGCTATTTATGCTAATCAAATGATATAAAGCATGGAAGCAAAGACTCAAAAAAGCCAAGAATAGGAAAATATCTGAGTTTTTATGCAAACACTAATTGATCTCATTTCTCTAATGAATTTTCTGTGTTATAGTTACTTTAGTGATTTCATTAAGCTTTCCAGAATATTAAGGATAATTCTCTCCAATGCTAGCAGGCAACCTAATAAAAAATAACTAAACATGACCTCTCCAATGCCGAGCATTGTAAAAAAAAATTATTATTATTGTTACTGCATTTTCAGCTCCATCCACCTCCCTCCCACCCTCTTTTTGTTTGGACCTCCTTGCAAGTTCAGGTCCTCGCCAGGGTGCATCAGATTCTTTCCACAATTGCAGGAAGTATATATTCTTTTATAAGATGACACTTCAGATCAACAAATATCCAATTCAAATCACATGTTGGCATATAAAAATTCACCAAACATGTCTGGATTGACCACATTATTATTAAATATGAAAAATCAAGTCTTCACACCATCCATAAGGTCATCTGTGACTGATGCAAACAGATGAATCAAGCTCATATAATCATATTTAGATATTTATAGGATCCTGAAAAGCTTTAGAAACAAAGGGTGTGAATCAGAAACACTACCATGCAAGTACAGAATAGTCAAAAGGAGAAATTTCACAGGCCCCACCTCTCATGTCATGAAAAAGAAATTGAGATTCAGCCATGAATGACAGAATAATACCTCATTGCACGATAAAGGGGGCGATACCACATAACATAGCCTCCAGGGACCCCTGCTATGAAGTAGATGATGGCAAGAAACCATATCGTTGGACCTAGAAAAGAAAACGATTTTAGACGGACTGGTGAGATAGCCATGTAATCAAATATGTTCAGTGGATTTGCACCAACCTTCTCCTTTGATCCAGGCTGTGGTGACAGCTATAATATTCCAAGAAAGACAGACAAATAAACCTGCAATTTCATAAAATCAGGTTACTCAACAGCTGTTACATGTTTGTCTGGAAACATTTCTTAAACAGGTCTACCATTTAACCAACTAAACAAAACTGTTTTATGACCATTTAAGCTACATGATCGATCACAGGAATGATCTAAATCCATTAAAAAAAGATAGGCAGGCAGTTTAAGATACACTGTCCAGTTTGACAATCTTGTCTTCGGATTCTCCTTGTTGAAAGGACTGAACCTTGAGGACCAGCCTAGCAAAATTGACTATCATGGACAATGGGAAAATAGGAACCAAACAATAGGAAATGATAAGCAGCCATCGAAAAGAATTTACACGAAGTAGAATACAAAACATACCCAACAATGTTGTAA